CCGACCAGAGCGAAGGTTATACTATTTCTGGCCTGTTGGCCAGGCCACAGGAAGGGCAGACAGCCCCGGGGGGGTGGGAAATTCCTGCAGAGTCTCCAGAGGGAGCATCTCCGGTTTTAACAGCTTGAGACGCTGGGGGGGGGGGGGTGCACCTCACTGTGCCCGTGTCCCTCCTTTGGTCTCACATCCCCAAGCTCGAAGCACCATAAATATAATGGAGCTTCCCGGGACCCAGAAGACAGGGTCACGGAGACGGTCGCTGGAGGGAGTTTCTCAGAGATCCTCAGCAGATCTGCTGACCCCAGGACTCGGCCGCAACCACAGCCCAACAGCCCATAATCAAGATTCAAGAACAGAGCCACCGCCCAACTCGAGGCAGCCAGTTTCTGACCACCTCCCGATTTAACCACCAATGGCTCGAGTCAGAGAAAAAAACGGGTTCTCCGGTTTCCTTAACTGTTCCCACACCAGACCTGCTTTTCTCACAGATCAATGGAGGACCATTTGGTTCCATTTCAGACGAACTGCATGAGAAGGGCCGAGAAAACCCGGAAGCACAATATTGTGCCTGCAGCAACATCAAGCACTGGCCCCTGTTCTGATCAGGGCCTGGGCCCCAGGCGGCCTGGGCCAGGGACTTCCGTCTGCATGAGGAGGACCCGCTCAGAGGGCACGAGTGTTTCCCACACCCACGCCCGCCCCCCCTTTGGCACACGTCCTTTCAAGGTGGGCCATCTCATGCACGATCTTTCTTGGGGGCACCCTGGGAACACTCCCAGACACCCCTGGTCCTTCACCCTCTGCCCCTGCGTCGACACCCTTGCCCAGACTGCGTTCCCTCCTTGGTGATCATCTGACGACTGGAGCACCTCTGCCAGGCTGTCAGGTTCCTCTCTCCTCTGTGCTGTGTGCCAGCACCTAGCAGGGCACCCGACCCGGCACAGAGCAAGCACTGTGTAAACATCTGTTAACAAAGGCCTTCATTTAAGAGGCACAGAGCCTGCGCTGTCCTGAAATCGCTCAAAGCTGCAGCTGCACGAATGCGCAGGTACTTGTTTAAGTGCTCATTGCAATCGAAATAACACAGACAGTTAGTGAGATGGTTTACAGTAAACCCTGAAGTAGAATATTACGCGGCAGTTTAAAAGAATGAAGCGGTGCTCCATATATTGACATGCAGGAAGAAATCACCAAGGTGACTGTTGAGGGAAGGAGCTAGACACAGAACAGTACATAAAATAAAGAATGAGTCACATAAATATAATTAAGTAGTTATATAGGAAAGATAACCCCCAAACTTTCAGTAGTGGATTTCTCAGATACAGGATTATAGGAGGCATTCAGTTTCTAGATATTGCGTCTCTGCCCTGTGTGAATTCTTTACACCATTTGTTATAAAAATCATCATGTTTAGTGGGTCAGATCCCAGCTTGCTGTGTGACCAGTAGCAAGTTACTTAACCTTTCTGAGCCTTCATTACTTCATCCATAAAACTCAGATAAAACAGTAACTGTGGTACTTGAGATTCTTATGAGGATTATGAGGACTGATGTGAGATATATAATACACGGCACAGGGCCTGGTGTCAAGTCAGTGTTCAATACATAGTAGCCACTATTAGTGCTATCGTTATGTATTATTTCTACAACCAAATATACAAACCTATGTAAAGTTTGTCTTTTGAAAGTCAGTTGCTGAGAAAAGGACCCACGATTTGGCAAAGCCCTGCATCTAACTTCGAATTCCCACTTTAAACGACTTGCACGCCCAAGGGGGCACAAACAGCTACCCCAAAAGCCTGCCCCCCTCCCCAGAAGCTTCTGTGTTGAAGCCCCACGTTCCCCACTTTCCCCCTCAGCCGGGGAGTGTCTGCAAAGCTTCCCTCCTCGGCCGTGAGATGTTCCTGAGATAAACTAATAAAGCAAATTGCTCCATACACCAGGCGGATGTGCTGCAGGGAGCTGGCACAGGGGCCCGAGGCAGGTCCCCAGCTCGCCCGGGTGCTTCCTTCCCAGGAGGGGCTGTCGGGGCCCCAGCCGCTGAAGCTCCGAGGGCCAGGGCAGATGCGGCCCCACCCCGCACGTTCCTCAAGGCCCCAGGGCTTACCTGCACGGTCAGGTAGAGCCTGTGGGGGCTCCCGGGGCCAGCCCAGTCCACGCTGAGGGCCCGGCACTGAGCCAGGGCCGGGCGGCCTGCACTGTGGACACCAGAGTCCTCGTCACCGCCAGCCGGGGTGTCTTTTCCACGCCCTGTCCCAGGACAGAGAAGACAGGTGAGACCGCTGGACGCCTGGCCAGAGACTGCCGTCCACAGGGCTGTGGCGGAGCTCGGCTCTGCACTCCGGGCCGGCCCGGGCGCGGCCAGGAGGGACCCACACGCCCTCACACGCCTGCCCTGCGTGCAGGGAGGGCCTGGCACAGCAGGGCCTGCGCTCCTGTCTTACCCAAAGCCGCCCCAAGATTCTCTTCTGGCAGGTGCCCCAGACCCCGCCGGGGGGCTCCCCTCCTCCAGTGGCTTTTGGGACTGGCACTTGCTCACGAGCACTTTGTACAGAGAGCAGAAGCAAGCCAACCAACCGGGCTGCGCTCATCCTCAGAGGAGGTGCACCCCGGCCGCGGCTTAATTACCCAGGCCGCCTCTAGGTGGCAATTTCTGCCCTGCCTTCATTCCGACCAACCCCACGCTGGGTGGCCTGGTCCCTGTGGCCTCCAAAAGCATATGCAGGACCAGCTAAAGTGCATCCTCTCGTGCCTCTGACACACTGCCTCCCTCACCGGATGGAGAGAGAGCTGACTATGGCCTCCACACCCCCACCACCCCCACCACAGCCTGAGGGGTCGGACGTGGCTGGGAGAGGGGGCTCGCCCTCCCAGGGGCAAGCTGCAGAGCCCAGCACCCTGGGATGCACCCTGCCAGCACCCGGCCCGGTGCTTTCCAGGCCTTAATGCCCTTCTCGAGCCTCAGTTTCCCCATCAATAAAACAGGGGTGAGGAACCAACCTCACAGTCCGGTGGTGAGGATCAAATGGGGTCACACACAGAAAGTGCTCACACAGTGCCAGGCACCCGGAAAGCGGCCGCAAATGCAGGCTGTGAGGACCACATCAGCTGCTCACAACAACCCCCAGAAGTGGGGAGCTTTCTGCCAACTTGACAGGCAAGGAACCAAGGTCTGGAAGGGTTAACGACATGCCCACAGTCCCAGGGAGCCAGGATTGCAATCCCACAGCTAACCCACCCTGTGCTGGCCCACCCCTCTCAAGGGGTGGGGGCCCGGGCCACAGAGCAGGCTGACACTCCACCCAGGGGCAGGCGCTTCGCATCTCACACCCAGGATTTCACTTGACCTTTGTCTTGAATTTTAGAAGTGGATAAAAGTCTGCACGGTCATACAGTCCTCATAATACTCATTTAATAGACCTATAAAGACTATAGTCTTGGACACACAAGACTGGAAGGAACTATATAAAATGGGCAGTGACAAGCTTACAGGTGATTTTTATTTTGTTTTTTACACTTTTCCGTGTTTTTGTTTTTTGGGTTTTTTTAGTTTTCCAACATCTTTTTGTTTTTTGCTTCTTGTTTTCTTTTTTTTTTTTTTACCAGGACAGCAATACCCATTCATATTACATTTAGAATCCTTAGGACAACCTTGTTGAGCAGAAACCATCTTCAGTCCCTTCCAGAGAACTGGGGCTACCTGACCCCAAAGCCCAGGCTTTTCCCAGAGGCCCCCAAGGCAGCCCAGGTGCACTGTCCCCTGCAGAGAGACCCTGGGAAGCATCACTCTGGCTGCCACTGATGTCACAAATGTGGTAGGAGAGAGGGAACTGAATAGGAGTTTGCTGTGTGCCCTCTCTGGGCCTCAGTTTCCCATCCTGTACCTCTGGGGACTTGGACCTGATGGTCAGAGGGACTCTGCTAGCTCAGACAGGCTGGTAATCTAATCTCCCTTCCCTGTAGGTCAGGAGCAACAGACAGCAAACCCCTCAGGCATCTTGCCTGAAGACCCCCCTCCCCCAACACTTCCAGGACCACCTGCCCAAGCCAAGCTCGGGAGACAGTCACGGGGCAGCTCCCCAGCCCTGACAATCCAGCCTCCACCCAGAATCAGAGGAGCCACTCACGTCTTGATGCTGGAGGCACCAGGGGACCTCACCCAGAAAGGAGAGCTGGTATTGACAGCTCCCCCAGGGGACAGCGGGGCCCAGACTCGGGGACTCCTTCACCGCCCACCTGCCGCTGGGGCCCCTACAGAGACCACCCTGAAGGACACCTAAAACTGAGTGCATGACACCCAAACCCAGCCAGGCCACACTCCGGGGCAGCCTCAGTCCACTCCTCTCGCTATCCGTGGGCCAGCCTGCCGGATCAAGTGTCAGTGCCGCGCAGGGCGCCGGGCAGACACCTCACCTACCTTGTTTACCAGCCGCAGGCAGAACCGGGCGAGACCACGAGCTCCCCGCCGAGGATGGAGGACGGCAGGCTCCCCCCTCCAGATCCAGCAGGGCCGGGAGCGCGTGGTCAACTGTGGCTTCTCCCTCTGCTCTAGGGACCGCGTTAAAGTTTAACCCGGCGTCCACGGCCTCTCTTGGTACCGACGGCGCAGGGCAGCAGCGCCCAGCCAGCCTGACACCCTGATCCACGCCCGCCTCGCGGGCTGCCCGCGACCCTGTAATTACCTGACAGCTCTGACTGAGCCTAGGAACTTGCGAGAAAGCCCAGTCTCATCTCTGGTATCTGGAGGAAGGAAAGGAAATAAAGAGGCATTTTAAAAATGCGGACTCACCAGTTCTCAACCTCCCCGGGCCGGTGTGTGGGAAAGGGCGGGCAGCCGGGCTGGCTGGGGCGGGGCGAGCCATTGCCGGCTGGGGCTCCCCGGCCCGGCCCACTCTCCACAGGCCGAGCAGCGAGGGCGTGGCTCCCAGGTTCCACGTCCTGCGAGAAGGGACCATGGCCCGGGGCTCAGCAGTCTCCTCCGGGGCCCCGGCAGCCTGCAGAAAGAACAGGGGGAGACGAGATTGAAGACCCCGGGCCAGGCAGATGGGAGCCAGCCATCTGGAAGGTCTGCCCCCAATCCAATGTCCCCCAAGGACCCCCAGGGCTCAGGGAAGAAACAGGGCCTGTCACCATTTTGGCGTGCTTGTTCCCGAGTGGGGAGGCTCAGAGGTGGGCAGGGGGCCCCGTCAGGTGTGTCTGCAGCACACTGTGGAGACCCCACATGGCAGCCCGTCCACTCTGAGCCTGGCAGCGTGAAGACACGCCCTGTCACAGCCCCACGTGGAGGAGGCACCAGTCAACAGCATCTCTGTAAATCTGATCCTTTTTCTCTACTTCGCCTTATTTTCCGACTGCACTCAGCCAAGGAAGTTAACCCTTGTGCTCAGGCTCCTCTGCCTCAGGCCTGTCAGCCAGGCAGCTGATGCTCTGATAGAAACATCTCCCTGAGGAGGGGCTCAGGAGGGGCCCAGACTGCGGCCAACGACAAGTTAGGTTTATATATAGCAAATTCTCCTAAAGTCAGCTCATTCATGTATTCAACCAGCCTTCGCTCTGTGCCTACGACGTGGCAGGCACCACGCTAGGTACTGAGATACAAAGATTCATTCATTTTTCATTTAATAATTATTTATTGAGTGCCCGCTGTGTGCGAGGCATCTGCCACGGGTCTTCTTTGATCAGGAGAGACGTGGCCCCAGAGCTCCGGGTCAGGAGCAAGATAAACATTTCAACAGACCTTCACAATCAGAACAGGATGCAGGGGAGGCACCAGGAGCTGTGGGAGAATGGAGGTGGGGGTGGGGAGCACGGATCCGGGATGGAAAGCCCCTCAGGTCCCTTATGAACTGAGCAAATGAACAGAGCAGGCTTCAGGCGTTCATTGCACAAGTCTTTATTGAGCACCGGATGTGTGCAAAGCAGCCTCGAGGGCATTTAAGGTGACCACGCTACAGTCCCAGACTGGGACAAACGGACACCATTTACAGAAGAAGTGAAGTCAGCTCAGAAAGGCAACGTTGAGTGTGCTTTGGGTTTTAAAATGGAGTGGGAGACCCCGGAGGGGCTTCCTAATGGCACCACCTGGGCTGTAGACCTCTTTCCCCAAACTTCCCTGCACTGACCACTTGCCACGGGGCAGTACAGATGTGTGTTTGAACGGTGTCCACCTGCCCTGACGCTCTACGGCTCCTGAGGGCAGCGCCCACAGCAGGTTCCTCTTTGCAGCCCCGCAGCACAAGCCCAGAGCTGCGGCTACAGCCACCCCAAACACCCAGCGATGGCACTGAACACACACAAAACCTCGGACCGAAGCTTGGAAGAGGGAGCAAGAGCTGGGAGGCTAAAGGTCACTGATGCCACAGGTGAGGATGTGGTCACCAAAGGTCGTGCAAGATGAGAGGCAAGCAGGGAGGACAGCTGGCTCTGGGGGGGACGGCAGCCAGGGAAGGAAGGTCAGAGAGGTGGTGGGAGCAGCAGGCAGGCACAGAGCCCTCAGAGGCGACTGGAGAGTGAGCGGGAAGCAGAGGATGGTCAATCCCCAGAGAACGACGCCACAGAGAGGTTGAACCGGAAGCCAGCCCCTGGGGGCTCTTGAACGGGGAAAATCAGTGCAGCAGGGCAGAGGGCAGACCTGGGAGAGCCCACGGGGCGGACAGGGCCTAGAGGAAGCAGCCACTTCCTTCTCTTTGGGGGAGTTTGGCTAGGATGGGAAGGAGAGGATGAATCAAGAGCATGTGGTATTCAGAACAGGAGAGATTGGAGCATGCTGGGTCGACAGAGCGGCAGGAATGACTGAAACATCGAGAGGCAAAAGAAGTAAGAGTACAGGGACAGGTGGCCCCAAGAGCTGGTCACCACAGTCCTGGAAGAATGCCAGGCTCTTGGCTAGGGAGTCGCGGTCTCTGCCTTCCTTGCGTCTCCTGGGGTTAGTCTCAGTGGGACATGGGCAGGACTGCAGCCCAAAGGACAGGGCGGGGGCAAATCCAAATATGTGGGCCGGCTCCACTGAGGAACTGGAGGTGGACCAGTGCGGAGTGGAAGGAACCCGGGGGAGCGGCCAGACTCCCTCTTCTCCAGGCTGCTTGGCACAGAGCTGGCCACACAACCAACCCCGAGGACCGGCTGCCCAAAGGGCGAGGAGAGAGACAGGCTCCACCTGCATGCCGAGCTGCTGGGGAGGTGAGAAGGCGCAGGGGAGATGGCACAGGGCGCTGAAGGCTGGATCCACAGTTGAGGGGGAAGATTTCTAAGGACGTTATCGAAGTCTGAGGGGCAGGGACGGGAGCAGACAATGTTGCTGTGGCTTTCAGGAAGGGAAGTCGGGGAGGCAGCCAGGAAGACATCAGGAAGAAAGAGGAAGGGTGTGTGCAAGATCCTGAAGAGGAAAAGGCTGCTGAATTTAGCAGCCGGAGGGGTGTGAAGGGGAAAAGTAGCAAGGCCCAAGGCTGAAAACTCTACCTACCAAGGTCATGGGGTGGGGTGACGGGTGATAACAGTGCAGTGGCTATGATCAAGAGCTGGTTCAGAAGCCGGCTGTGCCACCTACTAGATATGTGACCCTAGGAGAATTACTTTGCCTCTCTGTGCCTCATTATCTCCATCTGAAAAATGGGGGAACCCCACCTTATAGGGTTGGGGTAAAGATTAGACAACGCATGTAGAAAGTGTTCAGAACAATAATGGTATGCATAAAGTACTCAAACATTTTATTTTTCAGTGACCCCCCTCCAGTGGTGGGGGAATGCAGAGGGGCCAGGTGTGGGGGAGGGGCATCTGCCTCTCCCGGTTGAGGCCAGGCCCTTGAGCTGCAGCCCTCCTGCCCCCAGACCAGGGATATTGCAATGATTAGGGGACAGACCTGACCACTGCCCAGAGACCCTGCTGGGGAGGGCTTATTCTCCCGGAGATGGGCAGAAGGTCAGGGAGGTTGGACAGGGGTTGGGACCTCCCCTGCGCACAGTTACACATCCTGGGTTTTCCCGGGCAACCCAGATTTCAAAGTCTCTGCTCCCTAGCGTCCAAAAGGACAGCAGAACTCACCACCCTTCATCCCTAAAGTCACTGCAAATACAGGGCCCCATTCTGACACTGCATTCCTTGCAAATGACTCTCCCTGGCCAAGGAGACAGCTACTTTATCAAGGGCATGGGGACTACGCCACCGGGGCAAAGATAGGTGCTCACACAGCCTCAGGCGGAGGGATAGCCAGGGAAGGTCAAAGTCCAGGGGTGGCCACCACCCCCAACCTTGAGACAGATGCGTTGGGGGGTGGGGAAGGCTGCAAACGGTACTTGAGAATTTAAATGCAGCTTCCTCTTTAAAATCTCCCAGAACCAGGCCCTTCACTGCGCCAGAGTTCTGCTCCAACTCACAACAGGGGGTTGAAGGAGGTAGCTTCTGGCTCGCCCTCCCGGCTGGGACCCCCCAGGCTGCCGCTGTCAAGGGCTCCATCCCCCACTGTCCAGGAGGACAGCGGCCCAGGCCCTCTTTCCTCACCGCGGGCTGGCCCGCCCACCCCCGGCCCCGCGAGGGGGAAAGCGAACGGCCCAGGGCACGGACGTGGTGGGAGGGCCCGGACTGCAGCCTTCCAGGGAGCCCTGCGGGTGCGGGGCCTTCCGCCCGGGGAGGGCGCGGGGCCGACAGGCACGAGGGTCCCCGGCAGGGTCTGGCTCTCCCGGGCCAAAGAAATCGGAAGGGGGGTCCCGAGGCTGCTCTGATCGCAGGGGACGTGCCGCCCCCATGCCCTGCTCCGGGCAAGGTCCTCGGCTTCGGCTGGACGGTGCGGGGGTCAGCGCAGGGCTGGGTCTCCCGGCCGCGCCCTCCCCGCGCTCCACGGCGGGACCGGACAGGGGGTCCCGCGAGCAGGGCGGGCCCGGACGCGGCACCCCGAACAACAGCCCGGGCGGCCCCCGCGCGCCCAGCCCGCCTCCAGCCCCCCCGGGCCCCCGACTCACCGGCCTGGCGGAGGCAGGATCCCGGCGTCGCCGCAGCGCCCGGGGCTCGGCCCGGCCCGGCCCGCCGGCGGGAGGCAGCTCCACGCCGCCGCCTGCTCCGCCCGCCCCGCTCCCGCCCCGCTCGGGCCCCTCCCGCACACTTTCCCCAGGAAATGATTAACTCGGGCCGCGGCGCGTTCCCATGGCAACCGGCTCCGACCGCGGCGGGGGGCGGCGGGGCGCGCGCGCGCTCCCGCACATGCTCCGGCACGCGCTCCCGCCCCTCCCGCGGGGGCCGCCCACCCCGCCCCTCCCGCCGCCCCGCCCCTCCCGGCCCCTCCCGCCGGCTCCCGCCCCCGCCCCGCGCGCTAGTGCGCACGTGAGCGCTCACCTGCTGGGCACACGCGTCGGCATGCGTGCTTGTGGCTCTCACGCACTGGTGCACATATGTTCTCACATCTCTGTTTGCACACAGGCTCTACTTAGTACACACGACGCATTCACAGTTCTCACACGCTTCCTACATTAGTTCGTACATATGTGCTTTTGCACTGACACTCTCATAGGCACATCCTCAGACCCTAGGACAAAACTTTAACACGCTCTGGTTAGGACGCACAGACACTTCTCACGTGTGCTCCCTGACTGTCCTTGACACAGTCACAAACTCTAGTACACGTGTTTTCTTCACATTCTAGCACTCACGCTCTTATACACTCTAGATAGTATGTGTGTGCACTTTCACATGTTCCCACACACTTTACACCTGCACTCGTGTTATTGCACAGTGCTCATGTTTTCACACAAGTACTTCCACACGCTCACCCCCGTGTTCTCTCACATGCTCTAGCACACATTCGCTCACATTCTAGTAGACACGTTCTTTTAAACCCTAGGATACACTTTCACACATGCTCTTACATGCTCTGGGGCACACGCACATGCACTTTTATACATGGTCACACACACTCTCTCACTAGCTCTGGTAGGAATGCATAGGCCGGGCTGCCTCTCCAGCCACTGCGCCACCCGCCACCCCCACCGCCCCCACCAGACAAATTAACATCTCCTAGAGGAGGCAAGCTACCGGAGATTTTTTTTTTTGTTTTTTTTGGGTTTTTTTTTTGAGGAAGATTAGCCCTCAGCTAACTACTGCCAGTCCTCCTCTTTTTGCTGAGGAAGCCTGGCTCTGAGCTAACATCCGTGCCCATCTTCCTCTAGTTTATACGTGGGTCGCCTACCACAGCATGGCTGCCAAGCAGTGCCATGTCCGCACCCGGGATCCGAACCAGCGAACCCCGGGCCGCCGAGAAGCGGAACGTGCGAACTTAACCGCTGCGCCACCGGGCAGGCCCCATTTTTTTTTTTTTAAAAGATTTTTTTTTTTTAATTTTTTCCTTTTTCTCCCCAAAGCCCCCCGGTACATAGTTGTGTATTCTTCGTTGTGGGTTCTTCTAGTTGTGGCATGTGGGACGCTGCCTCAGCGTGGTCTGATGAGCAGTGCCATGTCCGCGCCCAGGATTCGAACTAACGAAACACTGGGCCGCCTGCAGCAGAGCGCGCGAACTTAACCACTCGGCCACGGGGCCAGCCCCCTACCGGAGATTTTTTAACGTAAAATATTCCTTTAAGCTCCTGCGAAAACCCATTCAGAGCGGAGCAGCTCAGGAGCCGCGGTGGCTCCTGGTGTGGACCCAGAGGCCCTCCTCCTAGGAGGCCTCCGAAGAGGCCTGGGGGAGGCCAGAAGCCGGCCAGCCGAGGAGAGGCAGCTGACCCAAGGAGCCACTCTGTTCTTTGTCTCCCAAACAGAGGTGGCATTTTCCTCCGGAGGCTGCAGCAGTAACCCCGCTCCAGGGTGCGGAAGGAGGAGAAAGAAAGCAGCTCAGCAGCCGGCCCAGCGCAGCGGACGGTTCCACAGACAATCCGAGCAGCGTGGGCACTCTGCTGCTCCTTGCCGGTCAGGGGATGGCCCAGGAGGAGCAAGAAGGGGACTGGAGGGGCGTGCAGCTCCAGGAGGGTTCTTTCCTGCTGCTGCCCAGGCACACGGGCTGGCGGTCAAGAATCTCAACCGGACACAGAGCCTGGTTCTGGGCCCGGATTGTTCTGGATGCCAGACTAGGACACTCACAGTGCCCCTGCTGGACCTGGGCTAGTGTGTGTTTTGTTTTCTAGCTGAGACAGATGCTGAGTGAAGGCCCAGTGGAGAATAGATGTCACTCTCCTGGGATGGTTCCTTGGAGTTAGAGATTTCCAGCTAAGAACCCTGGGGCACCCCCTCCATGGGACAGGCGGCCATACATTGTGAGTTACTTTATCCGAGTCCCCTTGCCTGCCTCTCCAGACAGCAGTGGTCAGGGCGTGGCAAGGATGGATGAGGGTGAAGTTTCTCTAGGTGCCAGACTGAGTCTCTCCCTTTATCACAGTCCCTGTTCTTTGACTGGAGGCGGGTGGTGTCTGTCTTTGCAGTCCTGATGGAACCGGGGGCCCTGTCTCCCTTCCTGGCTCGTACATTGACATTAACGGCAGGTTCCTTCTGCCAAAGCCAAAGCCAGATTTTTAAATTAATAATAACATTTATTGTTCTTTTTCTCTGATTACAAAAGTAATAGATGTTCATTGTAACCATTGTCCCACCCACTAGAGATAAATGCTGCCAACATTTTCATGTAGTCTTTTTTTTCTATGCACATAATAGCCACCATTTATTGCAAGCTAACACGGTGCCAGCCGCTACACAAAGCTCTTTAGAAACAAGATCCCATTTAACCCTGAACAGCCCATGAGGAGGGCACCATCGTATCCCCAATTTTTCAGGAGAGGAAACTGAGGCTCCGGAAGCACATTCACAAACCCAGTGTGTGATACAGCCGAGATGTGAACCCACAGGTGTGTGTGTGTACGTACGTACACGCAACATCTGGTACTATCCTATGTATGTGGGTGCCAGAGTTTATTAAGATCAAAGCGCCAGTGAAAGAAAAAGAAAATTGAGGCATTAGGAAGAGGAATTTTCGTAATTCTAGCAAAACTCTAATGAAATGTGAAACAAATTGCTTCATGACTGTTGGAATTTATTAAAGATTGCACAATGTCACCAGGAACTGCATACCGATGACTTCAAGGTCATTTCTATCCCAGGAACTGGACTGATGGTTTGATGAGAATGCCAACTCTCCCCTGGCCACAAGGAAGGTGGAGGATTTGCCAGAAACCTGGCCATCCCCACGCTAAGGTCCTGAGCCCGGGCATGAGGACTCCTGGGTTTGGCCTTTGGCCTTGACTCCCTGCCCACCTCGCAGAGGCATAGCCGTCTCAGGGAGGGCCAGACAAAAGGCAGTGACGGGAACACTGCAGATCTGTATGCACATCCACCATGTCCCCCAGGCAGGGGGTGGCAGCGCCATCTTTGTGTTCAAAGAACCTGAAGCCCCTTAACTCTCAGGCGTCCAGGTGAGATACCCACGGCCGGTCCCAAGAGCTCTTCAGCCCAGAGGGAAGCAAGGACAGGGGAATAACAAGCCAGCTTGTGTTTGATCTGATTCTCATAGTAACCCAGAGGAAAGCACACATGAGATTTACACGATTTTCCAGCTTTAACGGTTTTAACTTGCGATTCAGTTACCTTCCAGGTCTTTGCAATACTGTTTTCCCTGCCTCTTTCCTTCTCCCCGCTTCCACCTGCCTCCACCCTCCTTTACTGGCCAACTCCTGCTTGTCCTTCAAGTCCTTCAAGCTTAGAGGTCACCTTCCTTGACCCTCCCAGGGACCAGTTCCCTGACTGCTCATCCCCCTGCAGCCCCTCCCGCACTGGGCTGTGATGGCCTCTCCTGTCGACACCATCAGCTCCTTGAGGGCAGGGCCCTTTCCTGACTTGATTCCAGGGAAAGCTCTGCAAGGCCTGGCGTCATGTGAGTTTTTATTGAATAAATACCTAGATCGCGTATAATTCAGACAGGAAGAACAGGGGGCATGAAGCGTAGCCAAAGAGACCGTCTTCCTGTGTAACTTCTTGATAATTCTTATTAAAAGGAAGCAAGAGAAGACTCCTTAAGGAATTATTTCAACGTGGTCAGTAAGGAGATGTGAAAAGCGTCCATCCTTGCACGAGACTGCGCAATAAACAGTTTCTTGACGTTAGAGAACGCCATTCTGGAGTGGAGCCACATATTAAGTAACCCTGCCTCAGTTAGCCACTGATGTGAACCCACCGTGTCCGATACCCCGAAACAGTCTGTCCTGGACCAAGCAGCGGGAGCTGGGGAGCATCCGAGGAGGGGCTGGGGGGGTGCCAGGCAGGGCTCTGCACCCAGCCCTGCCAGTGCAAGTGTGACTCCTCGCCAGCTGTACTCAGCCTTCCGAGTGCACCAGGCGGGCTGGCTCTTGGCTCGCACCTGCCAGCTCTCAGGAAGCCACACTCCTCGGTGGACATGAACAGGTGGGGTCTTGGATGACCCTTGGCTGGACCGTAAGTTCCAGTTGCCCTTGTCTGCTACAGACTTGGCTCCTACGAGCATTAAGTGCTCAACAGATATTTGAACAAATGGTACCTTTCACTCCTCTCTCCCCTTCCAGCTCCCTCTGTGCCCTCCCCCTTCTGCCCGAGGTGCTTTCTTTCGAAAAGGTACATTAAGAGGGGAAACAGCACTCCCATTTCTAGAGGTCTCTGTAGGGAACCAAGGCCCCCCTCCCCGCAATAAAGCCACCTTGCTTTAAAATCTCTGGACAGTGACTTCCTTTCTGCCTTTGCGCGGGAGACTGGACTGAACAGCTCTTCCCAGCTCTCAGGTGAGGGGAACCTGTTACCTCTTTCTGACCTGAGGAAGAATTTGGCAGAGATGTCCTGCTCTGAGCACTCCAGGGTGTTAAGCAAACAGAGGGTTTCTTCCTCTCTTTATCATTTCCTGTAGTCTAAAAAATGAGAGGAATGCAAACACTGAGGAGATAGGCACTTAAGCCCAGGTAATAAAAAGACTTAGCAAGAATGGCCCGCTGCCCCTCCTCCCTCTGAGTCAGCTTCTCCCTTGGACAATCCCCCATCCGGAAGCCGCCGGGCTTCTTCCCCCAAAAGCTCCTGGCTTCCCTTCTTGTTCCTAAGTCATTCTAGCTCCTTCTTCTAAGCCAAGGCATGCATTATTAACATCATTCCCACTTCTTTTCAACTTCCCCATTCATTTTCCCCATCTGCTGCAAATTCTAGGTGGCTGGGTTTTTTTTTTTTTTTGAACTGCAATTTTTTTTCTGCACAAATATAGCAGAAACAAAGAGAGGAAAAAGTCCCCAAATCCCACCACTCTTACCTTATTGTCATGGGCTCATATTTTCTTGTTGGCACTTGAGCTTGAACAGACACTATTACTGTATTAAGGGGAGACAGTATGGAGCAATGGTTAAAACTGGGGTTGGGGTCAGGCGGTCCTGGGTTTGAACCCTCGTTCAGTCACTTCTCCATGCCTCAGTTTCCTCCTGTGACAATGACGGAAGCACTAGTCCCTAAGTATTGAGTGATAAGTAAATAAGAGCGAGCGCGTCACACCCGTAGCCCAGCATCGGTCGGCGTTCCGCAAAAATTGGCCGCGGTTACAGCAGGAGGCAGAGAGTGGATATAATTTTCCACTCTGCCTTTTCTTAAATCACATAATAAGCATTTTCCAAGTTACTTTTTCCTACTAAGGTCTGCTCTTTTGTAAACTGCATCCCATACTGTGGATGAAGCCAGATCCCATTCAGCATTGGGGTCGCAGTGTCTGGGGCACACCCAGTGCTCAGTCAAAATGACCGAAAAGAATAATTATTTTAAATGGTTGCATAGTATTCCACTAAATGGCTGTACCCTGACTGCGCTGACCATTCCACGGGGGTCAGATATGTGAGCAGCTCCCATTTTTTCACTTTTATAAACAGCATCACTGTCAACATCTCTCCACGTGCAGCCTTTTCATTCCCCGGGGTGGGAGGAGAGACGGGCCATGAATTTCATCAAATCTGAATAGAGTCTGAGCATTTCGTTTACACTTTCTAAACATGTTGCCAGATTGCCATCAGAAGGGTTGTACCAAATTTACACTTTACACTGTCATTGGCAGCATTTCTGACGAGAACTACTTCTCGCTCTAATTTACAGTTTTTCTCTTGGATCTGGAATTCTCGCCCCGGCTGGTTCCCCCGGGAGGCACGGAGCACATAAAAAGAGATCTGTGTGATGGATGTCAAGAATGGGGAGTGTCTGGTTTGTTTGTCGGTGTTTCTGTCTGCTGGGCTGGGCTGGGCTGGGCTGGGCGGCGCTGAGCGCACTGAGTCAGCGTCCCACCCCCTCCGCCTGCTCTTCAGCCCCCAGACACCTTCCCAGGTGGGTTCTGGAACAGCCCACAACGCTGGAAGGTTCTGTTCAGTTGGCCATTAGCATTCCTAAGTTTATCTCTGCTCTGACACCAGCCTGGCACTTCATTCTGGCTTCCTGTAATAAGTCACTCAGCCACTCCTGGAAAGCGAATCCCTCAAGAGGCTCTGGCGTCTACAGTCAACTTTGCATTCTTTGGGGGATGGGGGTGTGCAGAGGCAGCAGCCGGTAAGGGAAGCCGTGTGTCCCCAGGGAACTGCAGCCATGGCTCCTGACCACCCTGCCAGCCTCCCAGCACTGCCAGCCTCACTCACCCAGGCTCTGCAGCAGCACCCCTCACCCCGGCCTCCCCCCCACCTGCTGGTCCTCCTCCTCTGGGGGTGGCCCTTGTTTGCAAACAGCCACAGGAAGTTTTGACGCTGCTGATTAACCAGACTCCCACAGCTCTGGGTTCTTAGTCATCCCGACAAGTCTCAACCTTCCGCCCGCCCTGCCGACATCACCGGCTTCCAGGTGACGGGAAAGAAATGACTGCGAGCTCGGTAGTTTCGGTGGTAGATCCATCTGTCATCTTCGGGAGTGGAGTGGGAAGAACTTCCACCCATCCCAAACAACCGGGATGTACAGGGCCGGGAATGCCACGGTGGGAATTTAGTCTGATTTGATTTAACTTGCTTCTGCCGAGGGCCGGCTATTGCTAAGCACTGGAACAAACTCTTTACGTCCAGGACTGCCTCCGATTTCATGTAATCCTCACGACGTGTGCAGTAGACGTTATAATTCCCACTCCACAGGTGGAGTGTCTCAGGTCCTATGTTATAAGAACAGCTAGGGGGAGGCCCATGAGTGACAAGGGGCCGCTGTGGGAAGGCGGCTTGGAGCGCTGGAAAAGGGGGTGCTCCAGGCCAGGGCCTGTGTCCCCAGCACTGTGTGACCTTGGGCAAATTTCTTCCCCTCTCTGGGTCTCATGTCCCTCCCTGGGTAAGTGAGGAGTGTGGGCTGGCGACCTTTCCAGCGCTAAAGCCAAGAGGGAGGGAGTGAGCAAGATGGAAGGAATGACTGTAATCCTGAGATTCGCTTGCTCTGGGCCTGGTTCAGGGGAGGAGTAATTCCGTCTTTGTACCTGGCGCTCTGGCTTCACTTACAGCCGCTTCACGCTTCACGAATGAATGCCAGCAGAAGAAAGGAGCTTGGGGGGGGTGGTGCCCTGGTGGGAAGTGTTACCCTGGAGTGGGGGGAGGGACCGCTAATGGGGTTTCTCCTTGGAGTGACGAAATGTTCTAAAATTAGATTATGGGATGGTTGCACAATTCTGTAAATATACCAAAAACCATTGAATTGCACACTTTAAATGGATCACTTTATGATATGTTCATTATATCTCAATAAAGCTGTTTAAGAGAGAAAGGAAGAAGGGCAGGAGGGAGGGAGACCTGCCTAGAGGCTGGGCCAGAGCACCCTCTGAGATCTGGCTCCTGGGAGTGGGCCCTCAGCACCAGCCCCTCCCCAGAGGTCCCCCGTCCAGGCACCCTCACTCCAGAGCCTGGGACAGGTATGTGTGAAGATACCCAAGTGGCAAGGGACAGCTCCAGATTCCGACCAGAAGTGATGGGAGCCCCTGACCTCCTCGGAGGCCTAAGGAACCGTGAATCAAAGAGCAGGTGAGGGATGGAGGAATGGGGGGAGGGGCGGGGATGGCAGGACGATGGACAGAGGCCAAGGCAGGGTCAAAGAAGGTCAAGGAGGAGACTCAGAGAATCAAGG